TGCTGACCTTGGGCTAATCACCCTCAGCTACATGAGTTAGGAGATGCCTCCAGCTCCAGTGGGCCTGGAACAAGAGGCAGAGCTGAAGCCCCAGGTCAAGGGGCCTTCACCCAACCCCTAGAGCTGGCAGTCTGAATTCAGACTTTTAGCCTCCTAAACTATAAAAAAATAAATTCCTATTTGTTACATCAATCCACTTGTGGTATTTCTGATATAGCAGCACTAAAGAGCCAAGACACTACTCAAACCAATCTATAGATTCAGTGCAATCCTAATCCAGATTCTATGAGCATTCTATAAGGACATGGAAAACCCAATCACTGATTTTATATGGAAAAGAAAGAAATCTAGGATAAGCAAAGCACTACTGCAGAAGAACAAAGTAGATTTCACACTCCCAAATCTCAAAACCTACTTTTTAGCCATGGGAGTCAAAACAGCCTGGTATTGGTACAATGGTAGACATATGGACCAGCAAAACAGAATTAAGAACCCAGAAATAGATCCACCCACATAAGGACAGCTCATCTCTGGCAAAAAGCCGAAATCCATTAAATGCAGACAAGACAGTCTCTAACAAATGGTGCTGGCGAAACTGGATATCCATTTGCATAAAATGAAACAACATCGATACTTCACACCATACACAAAAACTAATTCAAGGTGAATCAAAGACTGAATTGTAAAACCTAAAAGCACAAAGTTCATCAAAGAAAATATAGGGGAAAACTTTCAGGGCCTATATGGAATAAACAGACAATAAAATATAACTAAAAATGCACAAAAGCAGAAGACAAACATGATGACTAGGACTTCCTAAAAATTAAATTCTTACATGCTTCAAAAGACTTCTCCAAAAGAATAAAAAGAGAACCTACAGATTGAGAAAAAATATTTGGCTATGATATATCTGATTTATCTTTAAAGGGATCTATCTTTAAAATGTATAGGAAACTCTAACACCTCAACATCAAAAAGACAACCAATCCAATTTAAAAAGGGCAGAAGACATAAACAGACACTTCACCAAGGAAGATTTTCAAGCAGCCAACAAACAAATGAAGAAATGTTTGTGATCATCAGGCAACAGAGAGATGCAAATCAAAACAGTAATGACATACCATTTCACAGCAGTAGATTGCCCAACCTTACTTCCAAGGAGCGGCTGGTGGGTTTGAACAGCCAGCCTTCTGGTTAGCAGTCAAATGCCTTAGGCACTACGCCACCAGAGCTCCTTCAGCAATCACAGCAAAATTCAATAACACAGAAAATTACAAATGCTGGCAAGGTGTGCAGAGATTGGGTCTCATACACTGCTGGTGGGATAGTTAAATAATACAATCACTGTAGAAAACGGTATGGTACTTCCTTGAAAATTGGAAACAGAAATACTATTTGACCCAGCAATCCCACTACTAGGTATATATCCTAAATAATTGAGAACTGGGACACAAATAGGTATATGTACACCAAAGTTCACTGCAGCACTATTCACAACAGCAAAGAGACAGAAACAACCTAAGTGCCCACCAATGGATGAACAGATATCCAAACTATGGCATATACACAAAACAGAATACTGTGCAATACTAACGAATAATAAAGAATCCAGCAAACACCTCATAAGTGGATGAACTTGGTGAACTACATGCTGAATAAAGTAAGTCAATCACAGAAGGACAAATATTGTATGAGTCCACTAATGTAAAAAGTCAAGAAAAAGATTACACATGGAAGGAAACTTTCTTTGTTCATTACCAGGGATAGGAGGGGAATGGAGGGTAGATCAGTAGATAGGTAAGAGACAAATATTGATTTGGATGAAAGGAAATGTAATATATCAAAAGTGAGTGACCAGCACAATAACAAATAAGGCTGGCTGATGGTATTTCTACATATGTATTTATATGTGCTGTAATAATGTCCATATAACTAGAACAGGTGGCAAACTTATGAAAACTTCTTAGCCACAGTCAACCACCCTGAGGCAGAGAGTAGTTGGACCTGTGGGCTTGGGACCATGGTCACAGAGGACATCAATCTCAATTGGCACAATATACTACACAAAAGCATTGTTCTACATGCTACTTTGGTGAGTAACAACTTGGGTCTTCAAAGCTTGCAACAATGGGTCTCTCTTCGTCCAGAACAGAGAAAAATAAAGAAAATCAAAGACGCATGGAAACAATTAGTCCAAGGGACTAGTGGACCATGCGAACCTCAGCCTATATGACCATGAGACCTGAATAATTAGATGGTGCCCAACTACCACTGTCAACCACTCAGAGGGGTATCTATGTAGGAGATCCTGGATAGACTGGGAGAACAATGTGGAATAAAACTCAAAATCATAAAAAAGTCCAGATTTCCTGGTCTGATATAGCCTGGTAAGACCCCTGAGATTATGGTCCTTAGTTACCCTTCAGGTTTAAAATTGAACTCACTCCCAAGGCTTCCAGCCAAACAACAGACAAGCATACAGGGTGAACATTTACATCAGGTAGATGCACTCCTTAGAACAATCAATCATGGGAGAACAGAAGGGCAGAATATGCACAGGGGGCAGGAATGCATAGAAAAGAAAGACAAGGGGAAGAGGTAACCACAGGGAGAAAATGGGAAGAGAGTTTTTACACTGTGGGCAGTACAATCAATGTCATGAAACAAAATATGAACTGCTATATGGAAAATGAATTTACTTTACAAACTTTCACTTTCATACAAATCACAATTTGAAAAAAAAAAAAAGAATGTCCTTATTTCTACACATATATTTGTATGGCTGTACGAATGTCTATATAATAGAGCTAACAAGGGGCAAAGTTACGATAACCTCTTACCCACAGCCAACCAGCCTGAGGAAGTGAGTAGTTGGACATGTGAGCTCAGGAACATAGTTGCGAGGGATACCAAGCTCAATTGCCATAACATACTACACAAAAACAGTGTTCTACATCCATGTCTACTTTGGTGAGTAGTGACCGGGGTCTTAAAATCTTGTAAGTGGCCATATAAGATGCAACAATTGATCTCTCCTTTGTCTGGAGCAAAGATGAGTGAAAAAAATCAAAGACACATGAAACAAATATTCCAAGGGACTAGTGGACCATGGGAACCTCAACTTATATGACAACCTCAATCTATACGACCCTGAGACCAGAAAAATGACACATGCCTGGCTACCACTGCCAACCACTTGGCAAAGGATCAGAATTGAAGATCCTGGATACAGTGGAAGAAAAATGTAGAACAGAACTCAAAATCATTAAAAAA